CTCATAAAATTATGCGCGTACTAACAAAGTATCTATTTCCCTGTCTTTCACTTCAACTCACGCCAGTCGTATTCACGCCCTTTCGTTTGTCGTTTGCACTGCCTCCCATCAGGCGTCTTCTAGAAGCACTGGGCCAGTGAGAGGGAGGAAGAGAGAAAGAGCTGTAAAAAGAGTATCTTGGTTTTACGTCATCATTATCGCGAGGCTACTCTGTAAGCAAAAACTATCCGAGTTTGAGATTTTTGCGACTCATAACCTCTGAAAACTCTCGCGTTTAGAATTACTACCTCGTGTTGGATTAAAAGGTGGTACATCACATAGTTTTACCACTATCTCTGAGCCACGTAGTAAAAGGATGTCAAAATCCGGTTTTCAGTTTCATTTTTTTTAGTGACAAAGCATCGATTACGCAACACTTGTATATGCATATGAGGTTCTCAGAGTATAAATACTGAAAACGGGACTCTTATTTAAAAACTACAGCAAAACTGAATTGAAAACATTTGACAGAATATTAGCAGGTGATAATAATAAACTAGTACTAGGCAAAACAAGCAGCAACATGCAACAGTTGAAAAAAAATGGAATTATACAATAAAACGAAAGTCACAATGCGAAATTATTTGAAAAAGAGCAATGCAATTGAAAGTTAAATACGACACACAGAAGTAATACGAAATAAAAATAGAAATAAATCACAAAAATTGATAGAGGCAATGAAAATTGTACATGGGAAACAGAAATAAATCAGGACAAGTAGAAAAAAGTTATACACCATAACTAAGGTGAGCAATCAGGAGTTAAAAGGAAAGATTGTGTTGATGTTTTGAAAAGTGAAAATGGGGGCGAAGATTTCAGTTCAAACGGCAAACTAATCTAAAGATGAATGGTAGAGAATTTAGATGTTCTTTTTTTAACGTAGTTAGTATTCTTGAGCGAGCTACATTCAATATATTCAAAGGAGAGTTGGGAATTAAGTAACTTATAAAACATTGTACTTACGTTATACAGAAATAACTTGTTAACAGATAAAGTTGTGTGCTCATTAAGCAGGCTAAAGGCATCTGAACGCGAACAACTGTAAGTTATGATGTGTCTGGCTTTATTTTGTATATGTTGGATGGAATGAAGATAACAATGATAGGTGTTACCCAGAGCGATTATGCCGTAGTTAATATGCGAATGAATAAATGCAAAGTACAGTGAAAGCAATGCAGGAGATGAAAAATACTTACGCGCCTTGATAAGCGCACGGATACCAAAGGCCAACTTCTTTTTAATATGATTGATGTGAAGATGAAACTTCAAATGGCTGTCCAATATCACACCTAGAAATGCCGCAGAGTCATTCATGGGAATAGAATGATTTCCTAATGATAAGGAAGGAAAGTTTATTAAAGGTTTTTGATGGGGATCGAAAATTAAAAAAAATTAGTTTTAGATGGATTAATAAGTAGTTTGTTGTTGTTAAACCATTTCATCAGGTGGTCAAGTGTCATATTTAGCTTATTTAGTAATAAACTCATATATTTATCACGCGCGTATACCACAAATTCTCGGTCAGTGAGATAATGCTTTAAAAACGTTAGAGCAAGGCTTGTGACCCTATAGGCTTTTAGCTATACGATACAAAATTGTGGTATTAATGGTGTCAAAGGCTTTAGTAAGGTCGAGAAAGATGGAACCGATTAATCCATTCCCATCAAGACTGTTCTTAATGAAATCTGCTAGACGAAGTAAAGTTAAACTTATAGAACTTCCGGCCCGAAAACTGAACTGGCAAGATTTGATTATGTGGAATTTAAGTACTTAGTTAGTCTGGACACAAATAACTTTTCAATTATTTTACTTAAAAAGGGGAGAATAGCAATGGGACAATAGTTGGAGAGCAGCTCTTTATTACCTTTCTTAAAAACTGGGATTACCTTAGCACGCTTTAATACTTTCGGAAATTCACTAGTTTCGAAGATTAAATTAATTATTGCTCATAGGGGTTCGAAAATAATGTCAGTAACCAGTTTTAAGTGGCGTATTGATATACCATCTAATCCAGGGCTGCTAGTATTGCGGGCGTTGCGGATAGTGGATAGCACCTCACTTGGCGTAACCGGGAAAAGATAAAATAAATGACACAGACGACTTTAGGCTGAAAATTTGAGGGCTGACTGCCCTGAGATAATTCGAAATGATCGGAAAACGCGCTAGCGATCTCAGCAGGCTGGCTTAAAATAATGCTGTCGTGTTCAATTGTAGATATAACCGTTGGCGAGTTACGGTTCGTAAATTTATTCAGCAATCGCTATTGCTCTTTAGGGTTACCTTTATTCCGCACAAATTCCGCGTCGTAGTATCGCCTTTTCGCTTTCCGGAGAGTGCTAGTGCGAATCTTACTATACCTCTTGTACCTAATAAGCAGAGAACTATTTAATGGCTGTCTTTTGGTTTTGTTATAGAAATTATCTTTTTTTTTTTCTCTAACTATTTAGTGAAGCATTCGTCATCCACGGGTTTTTCGGGTACCTAAATCGATTTTTACAGCGTACAAATCTGGAGGTGGTAGAAACTGCATTCGCGAAAACATCGCGAAAAAACTTGAAAGTCTTCGTAGGCTCATATATTAAATCGATAGGAGACCAGTCGGGGGAACGAATTGCAGGAATTAATTCATCTGGATCGAAAGTTGTGGTGAAATATGAGGTGCCAACTTTAGAGAAATGGGCATCGAGAACTGCAAAAAATAGGAAAGTTATCCGTAAGGTCAGTGTTAATAACGCCTGCAGCAATTGGTAGGTTGATGTTAGTTAGAACATGATTGATAAGAGAATGGGATCTTTCATCAGAGCATCGAGTTGGCGATGTGATCAGACATTCAAAACCGTACCCACAAAAGCAGTCACTGTAAGCGTTGTATACGCTAGAATTGACATCCAGGAGATTAATGTTTATGTCTCCCACTATATCATCACACTCTTATTTTCAGATAACCGCTTGCTAAGCACGTTATTGAGAGAGACAAGGAAATTAGATATGTTAGAGGCGGGTGATCTGTAAACACAGCCAAGAACAAGACCTTTAGAATTGTATGACTGCAGGGGCTTATTAGTTTCCACCCACACCGTTTCACAGCAATCAATCCGGAAGCTTGAACCGTTTCTTCGAGTATAGCTGATGTCGGGGGAAACAAGTACGGCAGCACCACCATGTGTATTGTTCAAACGTTGACAATATTCGGCAGTGTAAGAAACAAAGCCATACATGTTATAGTCATCACTAGAAAGCCAGGTCTCGGATATACTAATGAAAGAAGACGCGTGATCAAGAGAAGATAGGAAGTTTTGCAAGCATTCTTGATTCTTTCTTAAACTTCGGGCGTTGAAATGAACCAAGGAATGACAATAGGATTTTAGTATTGGGTGAATCTCGCGTGGATCCAGCAGCGGCATAGCAATGAAGACGCACATCGGCAGGTGTCTCAATAAACAGTACAACAAAGCCCTGAAGTGAATATGCGGAGATCAGACTCTGCTGTGATCCGGAATAACCTAGTATCGCTTGCTTTTCGTGCTTCGATTTGACAGTTCTTCGTACAAAGATACTGCCACCTTTTTTGCCTTTTTTAAAGCAAGTGCTTTTGCAAACAGCATTTTGTTGCCGATTGTAAGATGGTCGTTCACATACACTGACGTGTCGTTAGTTCCGGAAGAACCAAGCTGGCTCACATGAAGACGCGCCTTCCAGCCTTCTTTACAGATTCATTCTTCTTGTCCCTTGATACAAAGCGAGCACTCAGGTTTCGATCGGATGATTTGGATGGCACGCGATGAACAGTCTCAATATCAGATTCGGATACACCACATTCGATGACATCGGCCATACGCTTCAAAATGGCACTGCAGTCCTCGCCTTTTGTTGTGGGGACACCTTTCACTTCTACGTTGTTCAGTCTTGAATATTGCTCAAGATCAGAAACACGTTTTTCAAGCATTTCGTTCCGGGCCAGTAAGGCCTTGTTCGATGCCATCAGTTCGTCCTGCTGGGCTGTGAAGTCATCAAACTGGCTGCTCAAGAAGTCAATGCTTTCACTGAGTGAGGCGTTATCAGACAAACCCAAAGCGGTTAATTTCAGCTTGTTCTTATAGAGGTGATTTATAACATCACGGAATCCGTCTTCGCGTTGAAATGTTGTTCTAATTGTTCAATTTCACTAGCAAGTTCATTGCACGAAGGTGGCATGACGTAGCACAGATGTGGACACGCAAGTCGAAAATGGGCAATAAATTGGCAGCAGTCGCGGCTAATGTAGCTTGAATCTACTAAGGAAGAAAGTACAGGTAACCAACCTGAAAGTACAAGCAGACAGTCTTAGATGATGCACGCCAGCCGCAATTGCTACTGCAAAACGTTCCGGGAAGGTACCGAAGACGCCTTTATATGCTTTTACAGGTAGATAGCCGCTATACTGTGTGCAGTCGCATCAGTGGATATCGATGAGTCAGCAGCACGAGTCACAGCAGGTCACCTAAGCGTCCGTGGGTCAGCAGTAGGTGATGCGCTGAATTCAGAGCCGCGTAACTACTGCGTTTAAAAGTACAAGCAGACAGTCTTAGATGATGCACGTCAGCCGCAACAGCTGCTGCCAAATGAACGTCGTGGGAAGTTTTCTATCACGTGATTTTTAACCTGCGTTTCATAGTTTTGTACCACGTGACTGCAAGCTGCAGCTGCTTCGGCGGCTTTTACCCCGTACCCCTCCCCCCCTTCCCCATCTCCACAAATGACGCTCTCAGTGAATTGTGAAGGAATGCGAGCACCGCAGCTGTTGTTTTATTCAAAGTTTGGCATGGCATTGTCGCGCCTCATGGCTGACGTCGAGTCAACGCACTTTAGGGACAGCATAAACACACGAGCGAGGAAAGTATTCGGTGACCGAAAAAAAGGGCCTGCTCCAAGAAAAAAAAACTGCTGGCAGGTTGTCTTGCAGATTTTTGCAAATTGTTGGATTTTACTGTCGGGTGGCCCGGGAGACAAGTGGTGTAAGAAGCTCGGAATTTGTGTCCGGTTGAGCTGGTGTATCTCAAGCGACTCTGCATCATCGAGCGACCGTATACACTTCCGAGCGCGAGCCTCCGAACCTGTACGTCGGGGATACCTCGCTTCTGTGCCGATTCGTGAAAAGCTGCCAGCGGTAACAAAATCAAGCTGGTGTCATCGTCCGTGGTTGCTTCCTGGAAAGTGACCAATTACAACTTCGAAGCGATAAACAAGAGGCTTCACTATGTCTTCGGCAGCGAGTCGGCCAGTGCCAGTGTGCCGCTGGGGCAGGTGAAAGAATCCTTACAATGATTTTGTTCCACAGAAGGTCGTGTATGCTGGAGTATAGTGCAGCCCGAATTGTCCGCTCCATACGCCAACCGTTGTCAAACGTCTAACGCGAAGGTGAGCACAGGCTATACCCGGATAGTGGTCCGTCTCTTGCGTTGGAAGTACATGCGCGTCTATCACCGCGTAAGACGTCGCAGATAGTGGACACGTATTTTTCATTCGTGCCTGAAATGATGACGAAATTCGCACAGGAGATGTATTATCTCATCGCCAGCTGTCTTTCATCGCATAGCCGTGCTCATCGAAAAGGCCGCTCTTATACGCCCGTTGTCCTGAATACGTGCTGCTACTGTGTTTGTGCACCGCCGCCTATAGAAAATGATTGAGCTTCCGTCGTCTGTGTGTGCATAGGTATATTTCGTAGATTAGTGCTTCAGCAGTGCTAACACTGGTGAGGCCAATAGGCCGGTGTGCCAGCTAATTATTAGATAATCAAAAAAAGGTGAGATCGGGTGGATTTATAATAAAGGGCGGTGTGACTCGTGGTGACTTGCAGCCCACCGTAAGTTTACGCTTGCACTTTGAACCGTTATTGTTCGTCGATGAAAAAAAGTGCCGCCATATCCACGAAGTGAATGATGATGAGTGGGCGAAGCTCTGGAGGAAAACCTGGTAAACCATGAATCTTCCGTACATTTTGCCTACTCGATTTTATTACAATGCTCCCCCTAGCGTACGTCGCCGCACTAAATCGAACGATTGCCTTCCACCAATGACACGTGCCATATGTGACATCATTCCTATTTTATAACATCTCGCATCTTTCATCATCAACTACAAGTACCACCGTCTAGTTTATAACATCTTGCATCTTTTCATCATCAGCTACAGGTCCCGCCATCTAGTGAGCACTGAAAGAACTAAACGAGAGGTGGCTACATGCAGGAGACGGTGCCGCCATCTAGTGAACACTGCAAGAACTAAACGAGAGGAGGCGACATACGGGAGACGGTACCGCCATCTAGTGGACACTGCAAGAACTAAACGAGAGGTGGCTACATACAGGGGACGCACAGCCCACGCCTTAAGGAGCTTCGCCCCTAAAAAAAAAAAAAAATAGCTCTCCTACCGGCACTACATGACAGGTCAAAATGTCTTGGCTATATATACCGGATTGTCGAAGTACAGTCGAGCAACGCGTGCAGTCTGTTCAGGCGGTGTTTTATTCTGCATTTGTTGTGTGTGCGTGTTTGTTTGCATGGTAATCTCTGTATCCCCAATTCTGCCGTCATTTGATATTTAATTAATTATTCGACTCTCTGTGCGAATGCGCCCGTTAATTTTTTCTTTCGCCTTCTGAAAAAAAAAAACTTTGAGAAACCACCTCAAAAACCTAGGGAAGGCAGTCAAAAATTACTCTCTTTATATACTCACTCAAAACCTCTGTGGAGTGAAAAATTACTACCCTCCTTACGTTCAAAAACCCAGTTAGCACGAGAGTAAACTTTTACTGCGACTTGTAGGTGGTAAAAAAAAAACAGGAAAGGTGTATATATATATATATATATATATATATATATATATATATATATATATATATATATATATATATATATATATATATATATATATATATATATAGCATCGAACGCGTTATTCGAAGGTCGTAGGTTCGATTCCTGCTCACAGCTGGTAATTTTTTCATCCACTTTTCTTTCTTCTTATTTACATTCCATTGGTTCTATTAACTTCCCCTGTACATTCCTTGGCATTACTGTCTGTTATATCTCATTAATATTGTGTTAAAACACGGAAATACGAGCCCTTAGGTATACACTTCTCTCCCTTATATATATATATATATATATATATAGTACGCTGGAGGATGAGTCATTTATTCAGTTTTTGAGGTTATTTCAGGTATAAATTTATGTTTAGTGTGTACAAATTCCGATTGCGATTGTACCAGGGGGGAACAAAATCATGTTTCCCTTCACCCAACGTAACTGTTTTCGAAACGGCAGTAACTTTTATATGGTCACTATCATTCTGCGAAGTGTGGCGTCGTCGTGTGGGAATGGGTACATGCATATGCATGCAGCGCCTGCGCTGATGCATGTATATACGCGTGAATGGATACGGTGGTAAGCTGAACGATAGAGTAAAGATGAAGAATATGCGAATCGCCTGGAAACTTTTCTCGTGAATAATTTCGTTGCCTTATCTATGAGCTGTTATTAGGCCGCCCATTTCCTCGTTTACGTGTGTCTAATCATGGATTTCAACCCCCCCCCCTCTCCCTCGTGGGTATCATTTCTCTAATGCACTCTCTCATCGTACGTAGATTTCTCACTTTAATCTTCTCTCATTGCGTAATATCTCTATGCCGTGTTGTCGGCGTTCGTCATGTACTGTTTATTATTTATTTATTTATTCATTCATTCATTTCCGTTGGAGCCGGAAATGTTGTAGGCCCGTGTGCTCAGATTTGGGTGCACGTTAAAGAACCCATTTCCGGAGCCCTCCGCTATGGCGTCTCTCATAATCATATAGTGGTTTTGGGACGCTAAACCCCACATATCAATCAATTTATTTATTTTATTTATTTATTTATTTATTTATTTATTTATTTATTTATTTATTTATTTATTTATTTATTTATTTATTTATACGGAAGCCTAAACGAAATGAACGCAGTGCCAGTGGTCAAACGAAGCTACGTAACGACATGACTGGGTAAACTGATCGTCAACGAAGTTGTATATGCAAACGTGCGTACTACACGTTCGTGTTCGATTAAGGAAACAAGTCTTAAAATGAGACGAAAAAAAACAACAACAACATGGAGAACACTTGAACTTCGCCTTCAAGAGTATAGGAGGCGATAGCGTGATCGGGCGTCGTGTACATCACCTTCAACCATGCCGCAAGTAAAGGAACTTTTGTTCGCGTAAGCATCGGCCATTTCATACAATCCTGTGATGCGTATTCTGCAAGTGTACGGTTGAAAAGTGCCCAATGCGCTATGATTTTTCCTTTTGCAGATTGGCGAAGTATACGCACTACCCGTCCGTATATATACATGCAAGGTTCCACGCGCACCTATGTATGCAGCTGCGCGTGTAATGGGTGGGCAGCTTTAAACCGTACACAGTCGTTGCGCACCTCCTGTGTTTCGACGCGTCGCGCGATTCTACGATCCATGCCACGCAATATTGCACGAATTAAGGAGACTCGTCTCACGACATGGGATCCTTATTGCGCTTTCTCACGAAGCAGTTTCAAGTAATGGCGTGGCTATTGGTCGTGCTTGCCACACAGAAGAGACTGGTTCGATTCTCACTTGAAGCGAAGATTTTTTTTTGTTTAAATTAATTTACCGATTTGCGTCTATCTCGAATTTCCGCTCACGCGCAAATGCCGGTGTTTCGCTCATGGCCTACGACGCCGCAATTCTCTGCGGAGATAGCTCTATGACGCTGTTGCGTTAATAAGAAGAAGGTTTTGCGTATTGAGTGGAGTTCGCTGTGCTCCCTATTATACATCGATAATATAACAATATCTAGGATGTAAAGTCCCGAAACCACGATGTGATTTCGAGGGTCGCCGTACCGTAGTGGAGGCAAATTCTGACCACCTGGGGTTCTTGAACGAGCACTGACATCACACAGTACATACGCGGGCCTTTCGCCTACACCGAAATATGGCCACCGTAGCCGAGGATCGAGCCTACAAACTTTCAGTGGCCAAGCACCTGATCCTCGGTGGTGGACCTCTCTTTTCTATAGAGCCCATTGTGTATACCACACTGTTCTGTTACCCACCAAGAGCAATGTGCTAGCAGCACGACATCCGCATTTCACCCGACGCATGTTTCGCGGTCAGTGCAGCGGCCAACCCTCGACAGAATTACGCCAAAATACAAGCGGAGTCCCCGGGAATCGATTCCCATCCATTTAGGCGCATCGTCTCGAAGGCGACATGCAGTAGGATGCCTAGCTTTCTTTAGCAGGGACCGAGGGAACTATAGCTGCAACTGTGCCCGACGTATTTCTGCAGTGAGGCTACCGAGTCCACTGGAGCCCTCTGCACTGACCCCATTTGTTCAGAAACGCCGTAACCAATAAAATTTGTTCAACCTTCTACTATATACGCCACGGAAATGGCTGTGGCGCTGGCTTCGTCATTGCGCCTTGAGTGCTCGTGTACTTGCCATTGAAGTAAAGAAAACAAAGAAAACAAAGAGTGAAGCCATATTCGTTTGCCGCGCTCTTCGATACGAGGCATATAGCGGGTGAATGGCGTCGCCTTGCTTGGCGGGCTTGGCTCCCTTCCCAAGCAGCATAAAAAAGATAGTCTCGACGTAGTAGTCGTGTCGTAGTATTTAAGGGAGCGTTAATAATGGCTGGTGCCGTCGAGCGCGCTTTCCGCCTTTGCCGCGTAGTGCGTGTATACTATACGCGCACGTCTTGCAATCGGCTCGACCGATCTTTGGCTCATTCACACCGTGGCGGCCGTTGCTGCTGTTGTTGGCCGCCATCGATCAGTTATATTCTTCGTGTACACGGCGCGACCTTCTCTCCCACCCTTTCGTCCTCCGCACGCGTCGCTGATTGGGCCATGCCGTCTATATATCCTCTTGGCAGCGAACTGTGATGTAGAAGTGTGGCTTCTTTTACTTCTTTTATTCCTCATCCTCCTCTCCCTCTCTCTATCTCTCTCTGTGCGTGTGTGTGTGTGTGTGTGTGTGTGTGTGTGTGTGTGTGTGTGTGTTCTGACGTTTTCCTTCACATGTTCATTTCTCGAATCTGTCGTTGTTGCGTGGATATGTGAATGTCTGCCACGTTGTGCGGCCGCTATCGGCTACCGCAGTATATGTAATGTTCGACGGGTCTTCGGCACAAACGCTCGACATATATACACTTCGGTCGGGGAAGTGATTGAAGGAAAAGCAAAGCGCTTCTCTTGAACCATGGTGCATGTTTGCGCGAGTCGCGTAA